GCGCATATACAATATAAGAGAGTCAGCCTAACATGATTTTTAACACAATTTCACATAAAGTCATACGATCACCACATAACACGTTTTAAAGAATCCAGTCGTGCAATAATCGTCAAGTTCAATCATATAAGCATGCTTTTCATAACATAAATTTTAAAATCTCAAGTCATATAGAGCCTCAACATCAGGCTTAACTACACATTCATACCTTTTACAAGTGCGTGCCTCGCAGCCAACTCACAAGATATTCACGCGATGTCGGAGCAATCCACTCGTCCTATGGACGACGTCGTCGTCTTTCATCCATGCATCAGTCTTCAGGACTTACACTCGATCTAACGTACGAGAATTATCAACCATCATCCCTCTCAAGGCTTAGCCACACTCAAGAGTTACGACGGTGATATGCATTAGATTCTCCTAAACTATGGGGGTCGATTAGTAACCAATTTGCGTCATCTAAATGACACTCCCGGTCCTCGACGATTGAGGTTCTAATTCCCCGAGTGATCTCATACACTAGAGATTCACTCGGTACTTAACCTTTCTCTTTCGAGATGGGTCACAAATGGTCCTACTCTAAGGACACTGAACGATTCTTATAGCGAGAAAATGCTATAATCAACACTTATCTCAATAATAATATACTGAAACTCACAACTAGGAACCTCTAGAGTCAGAACTTAACTCTATATCACTAGAGTTCAATGTCAAACACTAGAGTTCACATAACCTGAGGTGGATAGATTTCCTAAGCCCCAAAACAACATATATATCACTTCATGAGTAGTCTCATTGCTACTCATGCAAAACCTCATAAGTAGTTTCATTGCTACTCATGCAAAACCTCATAAGTAGTTTCATTGCTACTCATGTAAAACATCACAAGTAGTTTCATTGCTACTCGTGCAAAACATCACAAGTAGTTTCATTGTTACTCGTGCAAAATCACAATTCACATTATAAGTATTTTCTTTGATACTTATATAAAACATACCTTAAAGCGTGACGAAGACGAGTGGTCAACAAAAGGTCTAAATCACATAAATAAGTTATTCACATATAGACCAGTCTACAAAAACGCAGACTGGCTTTGATACCAAACTGTAACACCCCACTTTGATTTTACAGAAATTCCAGACTTTCCAAAAATCAGTATAAAATTTTCGAGATCATTTTCGAAATTTAATGTGTGTTAAACAACATATTTCGTAACGCAAGTCTTATCTAGGCCCACGGGGATTCATTACCTAGTTTTCACGAATGGTTTTCATTAACCAAAGAATAACGTGAGACATAATTCTCAAACATGAGTATACTTTAACCATACCATCATACCCAACATCAGGGTTCCACAAGTTTTCCAAAAACAAACAAGTCTTACGTTTTGGAAAAAAGGTTTTAAACAAGTTTCCACATAAAGGTCCATAAAAGCCTTAATTATTCTACGGAAGCAATAAATGCATAACATGATGACCGACCCACTCGCCTCTTGTAACACCCCGCTTATAAAAGTAAATTTTTCGCAACTTATTTCGAAAATACTTATAAATTTTTCGAAACCTTCTTAACTCGGGATGCTACTAACTTATCTACTTTAAAAATCCGTTTACTTAAACTTCATCTAACAACTAAATTAGACATACATAAAACAGATTTTAAACATTGAACAAATATATAAACTTAACAGTTCATACAATCAACTTGATAATTCAACCTTTAAAATCACACTTAAAATCACACTTTTTCAAATCTTAAAGAAATGTAGCGGAGATCTTACAAGCGTGGTTTACAAACCGAAACCTTATTGAAAATTCTCAATAAAAACTTATTCACATCCACGACCACCACAGCTCCTCATACCTGCGCACCGTCTTTATTTCCTGAAAAAAAAAATGATAATAGTGGGGCGTGAGTACTAATCAACTGTACTCCGTGAAAACCCATACGAAATTAAACAACAATAATAATATCAATATCATGATCTTTGGTATGTATCTAAGCTTAATCTTTCGGTATCTAACCGATAATTTAACTTGAACTTTGCAACTACCGGTAAATTGGGTCGGTTCTCACGTGATCACATTCTGGGGGTCGCCTCCCACAGAATCCAGTCTTGACTGAGTGAGCTTAATACTTTACTTAACTTTATACATACCTCGAACATGATAATAGCTATTATACTCAATGTAATACCCAGTCTGGGTCCCCACCTTTCTTCTTGAAAAATTGTTTGTAAGTGTTGTTCTCGTAGCCGACTTGGAACGCTTCATAAAAATATAAACAAATATACTAAGTACTATGCTCGAATACTCAATAAGATACTGAGATTCTTAACTTTAACTGTTAACTTATAACTTATCCGAATCATAA